GAGAAAAAAGAATTTTTTAGAAAGAAGTGCCAAACATGGACTGCTTTTCCAGATACAGAGTCGCCACCTAAATATTTTTTATGGGGGAATTTAGGAAACCCTAACTCGTTTGCCTAAGGCCACGTGTCCGTCATCTCCAAAGTTGCCTTGGCTCGGGAACTTGAGTACGATTGGGGAAGGTCAGCTATGAGCACCCCCGCTCGCCCGATCCGAAGATCGGCCTCTACTAACTATGATATCTTGTTTTGAAAACATTATGCGTTCTTATTTCGGTTATTAGCCTAGATTTACTATGTGATGCGCACAACAAAACAAGTATAGACTAGGTCGCCTAATTTAGAACAAAGCATTGCATATCTGTTTGTTTGGAAAATGGTTTGAAGTTTGCTACTCGCAAGTAGGCTAAAATACAGATTTCAATAAATTGTCCCAATTCAAGCAATCCAACCTTCACCCACAAGCATTCAGGCAGGTATATCACATAAGCACATAGCCTCATGGTAAGCATGCTATTATGTTAACATTCACACACATGCGAGGATGCTAAAACATAAATGCTTACCGAGTACTCCAAGCCAAAACAGAAACTAGTTAGTAATCATATGCATGATCCTAGTTCATGTTAAGATGGCTAATGCAACATACGCAAGATGCAGCTACAATAGGCTCGACTATTCTAAAATGGCATATGAGATGCACAGATAACATGTATTCAATTTGGAATTGAAGTACAATGCAGTTAGTATGATGCGCCGAGCCCAGTGCATGCAAGACAAATGAATGATGCAAACATACGAGTATAAGTATGTTCATTGAAACGTGCCCTAATACTAACCATTGAAAGAAGGTAAGTAAAAGGGAGAAAGAAGTGGGGGTTGGAAGACATGCACACACGCACCTACACTTATTACAAATTTGCCCTCGCTCGGAGGGACCAAAAGAATAATACAAATTAATTAACCTACAAGCTAATTAAATATTACAGACCACTTAACTAGTTAAGCAAATTAACTAAGCTAAGAAAGCAGTAAAAGGCCTCGGAAGAGGGTCTAATGCACGCATGCTTGGGTTTGCTCGGAAATCCGTCGCCATGCACAAGTTGCCTCTGTTTACCCTGCTCTGCTCCTCTGAAAATTTCACAACTCCCAAGGTATGCTCTATGGACATTGTAGAGTACCACCGGCCAAGGGGAATCATCACCGGCCATTGGTAATGGTCATCAACCATTGATTTTTCTCTCGGCCATCCATATTTGGTCGGTTGGCACTAAGGATGGTCGGCCGGCCAAAGCTTTCTGCAGAAACTTGTTTTGACAGCAGCAGAGGATAGACAAGGCATGGCAATGCATTTTCAAAGCAATGTTTGCACCACCACCCTCCCTATCATGTTTAAGACTCAAGGGAGCATGGTACTCGACCCTTGGACCACCAATCACGCATTTCAATGCATGATGGCCCAAAGAAGCCAAAGTGTGCAATTTCAATATGGAATGAAATGCACAAAACAAATAATGGGCCCCAACCTCTATCATAATCAATTCAAGAGGCATGGGATGCATGCAATGCTATGCAATCTAAGTATGCAAGCTAAGCATGTGAACGTGCAATGTGTCAAACATACAAAATGCAATGTAACAAACATGGAACAAGGCCAAATATGCAACAACATACAAGGCAAGCATGCAACAACATGCTAGGATGGTCTTGAACCAAAGTGGACAGCCCTCAAGTAGGCCCAAAATAGTGGCCAAAATGATGCAACAAAAGCATGAAAACACACACACAAGCATGCATGCACAAGGGCCTAAACATGGAGCATAAGCCAACAACTCTTCAAAGCATGAAAGCAATGGAAAATGCAAGTATGCAAACATGGAACATAGACTGAAATATGGTCTCCAATGATGCCAAATCATGAGAACAAGCCAAGTAAAGCATGCTAGTGACCCACACACCCAAAGCTAGCAAGCTAAAATGCAAAGAGACCATACGAAACATGTTGAGCATGATCAAAGAAACTAAAAACATAGCTAAAGCATACTAAAACATGCATAAAAGCTTCACAAAGCTTGGCCAAAATCATGTTAGAACAAGGGTCAAAGCCTAAAGCATGTTAAGGCAAATTCATGGCATTACAAGACAAGTATGCAAGGCATGCATGGTGTGTCTAAACCAAGTAAAAACAGTGCTATATCATGGCAAAATAAGCACAAATATCACTTAAGACATGGCCAACATGAACTTAAAAATGGTGCTCACACATGAGGCTAAAATGACACTTTTTGAAGACAACAAGGAGAGGGGGTGGCCCTCTCCTTCTTAGGACCTTAAGACACCATCCTCACCACTGAAATCCCTCAAGATTTTAGTGGTGAGGAGGCCCAAACAAGGTGGTCCCGAAGCTCACCAAAAATGCACAAAAAAAGAGGCCAAACAAGGCCTAAGAGGGGGTAAACGACCCCAAACACAAAAGTGACCTTAATGAAGTATCTTAAACACAAAAAAACAGAACTTTTTTATGTTATACACAAAGCTCAAAACAGCAAGCAAGATAGGCTAAAAGTGTGTGCAAAAACGGAAAATAAACAAGGAAAAGAAGTTACTTTTGTAGCCAAAAGGGGACAGCAGCCTCTTGGTCCAAAAAAACAGTCCCTCAGCCTCTGAAAATGGCCTCTGAGCTCCTTAGGTTGATGATGGAGGGGTTGTGCTAGGAGGTGTAGTTCAAATGGCCAAGAACTAAACCCTTTTTCACCCTCTAACCCACACAAATGTAGAGAGAGAGGGAGATATAGAGAGGGAATGATATATATATATATATATATATATCAGATTTTTCTAACCTTGAAAGGGGAGGAGAGGCCCTCTTTTTATAGAAAAACCATGAGGGCAAAGCTTCTCTTAGAAGCTTTGAGCAAAAAGGCCAAGCTTCTCTTAGAAGCTTGGAGCAAAAGGGCCAAACTTCTTGGAGAAGCTAGGCAAATGGGTCAAGAGGTTCGAGCTTCTTCAAGAAGCTAAAAAAAGGATCAAGCTTCTTGGGGAAGCTAAAAAGGGTCAAAAGGTTCAAGCTTCTTGGAGAAGCTAAAAAAGGGTCAAGCTTCTTGGAGAAGCTAAAAAGGGTCAAAAGGTTCAAGCTTCTTCAAGAAGCTAAAAAAGGGTTCAAAAGGTCAAGCTTCCTCAAGAAGCTAAAATCAAGAGTTCAAAAGGTTCAAGCTTCCTCAAGAAGCTAAAACAGGGGATTCAAAAGGTTCAGACCCCCTTCAAGAAAAGGTTTCAGCCAGAAAAAGTGGCTAATCGGCACCGATCACAAAATGTGCCGACCGACCATCAACAGTGCCGACCGGCCATCACTAGTGGCCGGTGGCAAGGAAATAAGGCCGGTGGCCTCAAGCCATGGCCGGTGAGGTGTGGGGATGGCCTACAAGGTATTTCCCACCCTCAGAAGCAAAACAATAAGTGTTTGATGTAAAACCAAACACAAAACAAACAAGTCGAGAGGTCTTGAGGCAAGGCGCGTAGCCGAAACCTCCGAGAACTCAAGACGAACACGAACAGGGATGATCATCGAGTGTTCAAACGATGACGTCCAAGTCTTGAGGACGGTCAAAAATGGGGTGTCTACACTATGGTATTTTTAATAGCCATACTAAAAACAAAATGTGTTACTATAAAAATTCAAATGTGAATATTACAAACTAAAATAAAAAATAAATAAAAAATAAAATAAAAAAAAAAAAGCAAAATTAAAGACAACAACAGGTCTTAATAAGGATAAGCCTTGTAGTTGTTGAATCGGCCCTTGTGATGAAAATACTGCTGTGAAGGAGTAGAACGGTTCTTTTGCCTTGGGTAAGAAGAATGATGAAAATCCAATGGCCTTTTAAACCCAATACTTTGCTTATGAGTATTGTAAAAATAGTTATGAGCCCAAGGTACACAATAGCGCTTATTAAAAATTGTTTATTTGAATGTTTTCCTGGGTAATGCCCTTGGATAGCCTTTTCCTCAAATTTTTTCTTTTGAAAATGTAGTACTAGTACTCACAGAAAAATTCTTAGATAAATTCTGGAAATTCTAGCTTTTGAATGACTGAAACAGCCTTGAAATGAGCGAGAACGAGCTAAAAAATCGATTGGACCAGGCTGCTGCCGGTCCAAATACTGTGCTGGGCCGGTTTGGACTTTCTGAGACCGAACTGGTGTGACACGCGGGTCAGCGTGCGGGTCAAGCGGAACAGACAGACGCGGGTCCGGGCGTGGTCCGTTGGGCACTGGGTCAACGTGCGGATCTGGGCACGCGCTGGGCCGCGACTTTGGGCTGCTTCGCTATGTCACTAGGCTGGTTTGGGCTGGCAGTGTAGGCTCAAACAAATTCTTTTTAATTCTAAGGCCCAAAGAAATTGATTTCCTTGTTGTATACCTTATTTTTGGGCCCTTTTTAATTGGTTTGTTTTTGGCCCAAATTCTTGAATGTTCAAAACAGAGGCTTCTTCTTCAACGTCTTTCTGGTTTTGGTTATCTTCTCAGGTGACGGGAGTCGGTAACCAAGCACTGAAATTCAAACTTTGTGGATCAAATTTTCGCCCTTTTTCACGATGAATTTCACTGTCACGATCAAAATTCTGAGAACAACAAGATGGTGCTAAATTAACAAAAAACATTTTTGGCGACATTTTTTTGCAACTAAAATAGAAATTAGTCGCCAAATGTACATAATTGGCGACCATATATTTTTTGGTTGCCAAAAACTATATTATTGGTGACAAATTAAAAATTTGGTCGCTGTTGAGTTTGGCGCCAAGTGAAATTTATGGGCGGGAGCTAAGAAAAATTTTCTGTGACCAAATTAATATATAGGGACGAAAAGTTTAGTCGCCAAATGTATCATTTTTGGCGACACTCATTGCTTAGTCACGGGAAATATAAATGACATTTATGGCGACTTAATTAATTTAGTCACCAATAATTAATTTCTCAAAACTATGCCGTTTTGTATTTGTCCTAATTTTTAATTGCCCGAAATAATTGGCTGTGAATAAAGAGGTAATTGACCCTTGAACTCCATCTCATTTGCTTCGCTCAAGACCTCAAACAACAAAAGGTATGTCTTCTCTTCTTCTCTCTCTCTCTCTCTCTCCTTCTTGCTCTATTTCGCCGCCGACTATAGAGAGAGTGCCGCTGACTACACTCCCTAGCAATGGCGCTGACTTTTTGTCTCTTGCACAGTCGATCACGAGCAGCACTGATCGTGAACCTCTCTATGGTCGCTGTCATCTTTCCTCTCTCTGTTATTTTTCATATTTTGTTGGAGAATACCATAGAAAATCTGGAGTAGACCATAGAAAATCTGGTGGTATTCAAGATAACATACCAGTAAAGAGAATGAGTAAGCCATAGAAAATTTGGAGTAGACTATATGTCCTCTCCTTGTTTTTGAGCCACCATTGTCTTCGATTTTCTCTAAATTATGTGTCTAATTTTAGGCAAATCTGAAGATTTCAGTTTGTGTTGAATCTTTCTCTCTCTTCTCTCTCACTGAAAGATACCTAAAAGCCTCCTCCCCTGTCTCTCATTCATAAGGTAATATTCATTTAATTCTTTTTTAATTTTTTTCAATTTACTCTGTTATTACAAGCTTAGATCTTTCATTCCCACTATTGATTGATATGTATATTGATGTGAATATCAGTGGATGGTGCTTTCATAGTCATATATATATATATATATATACAAGAAATAAATAAAAGGTGGCCTACTATGATTTCTTGGCACTATCTCTACACATGTGCACCTAAAGGCTAAAGTTGAATTTATTTAATATTCTTTGAAAAGTTAAAGTTGGTTCATATAATTTGGTCATTGAAGATGGAGTTGTGATATAGATTTCATACCATGTGTTATGTATTTAGGAGCTTAATTTATGAGTTTTAATTAATTTTGATTTCTAATTTAGCTTCTTGATTTTTAATGAATAATTCTATGTATACTAACAATCTTACTAAAATTATAAATGATCACATGTGATTGGCTGTCAAAAAAATAATAATATTTAAACCACCAATAATATTTGGACATTGATATTTTTAGTAGGCTTGTTAGTAAGATTTTAAGTAAATGTATCATTACTCGTTTTTAATTACTTGTTTGGAAAAAGGGTAGGAATTGGTAAACAGTTTGAAAATGGTCATATGAGAATGATGCTTTTTTTTTTTTTTTTTTGAGGGGTTGTGGGCCATTGTTTGTCCCATTGTCATGCCAACAATTCCATTGTCATATGTTGTGATGGTCCTATAGAGAACAAAACAAAATTAGAAGGAAAAGAAACATTCATTTATTTAGATGTTGTCTAGATTGGGAACACTTTTCAATTGTTGTCTAGATTTGAAATGCAATCATTTATTTAGATGTGTAGATCACATTTTGGTTTGATATATAATAATATAATCAAATCGTTTATTTTGCACATATCCATGGCGAGCAAGTATGACAATAAGGCATAAAATTTTAAAAGAAATGAAGACAAGACATTAAGTATTGTTGCTGTGTTTGGCTTCAAAGATTTTAATTTCATGTCTAACTAAACTAATAAATGAGTTAAATTGCTAAAATAGATGAATATGCTTTTAGAAGAATAACTAAACTAATTTATATATCAATTTGAAGACTATAATTTATATAGCAATTGTAATTTATTTATCAATTTCATCACATAGTATGTATGAAACAATCATTTAGTATGTAGTCATTGCTTATCCCTGGACCACAAGGAGTTCAAAGTGGAAAATTATGAAGCACATTAAATAACAATATCTTAAACCTTTAATCAAATATATGATTGGACGTATGACCCTTCCTTAAGATTCTTCTTGGACAATTAGGAAATTATTCAAATTGAGAGTCTTGGCTCAGCCTTTAATCAAATATATGATTAGGGATGGAGGTGAGACCTTTTTATGGTTGGATAATTGGCATCCAATTGGTCCTCTGTATAAAATCTACGGTGAAAGAGTGGTTAGGGATTTAGGAGGTTCCTTTCTTGCTAAGGTTTCTTCCATCATCAGGAATGGTCATTGGAGATGGCCTAGGCTTAAAAATAGGTCTATTCATCATATTATTGAGAACACTCATGCTGATTTCTTGCCTAGTCCTAATGCTGCTAATGGGGAATTCTCTGTTAGCTTTGCTTGGAATGCTATCAGAGTGCCTCATGCTTGTGTTTCTTGGTGGTAGGGGGTTTGGTTTAGCTGTAATGTCCCTAAACGAGCCTTAATTCTGTGGCTTTGTTGCTGGAAAAGATTAGCTACTAAGGATAGACTTCAAAGATGGGGAATGGAGGTTCCTTTGTTTTGTTCTTTGTAATCTATCACATGAATCTCATGATCACCTCTTTTTTGAATGCCCTTATTATGGTTGGATTTGGAGGCCAGTGTTGAGGAAATTTCAGGTTTCTAGAGTGCCTATAACCTGGTCTGCTGAATTGGAATAGTACACTTTAAATTTGAGAGAAAAGAGCTTCAAGATTACTGTGTTTAAGCTTGCCCTTTTTATTGCAATTTATCATATTTGGCTTGAAAGGAATGCTAGGATTTTTAGCAATAAAGCTTTTGATGCTTGTGTAGTTTTTCATTCTGTGGTTACAAGTGTGAGGGATAGAAGTTGTTCATGGACTCGGGCAGGTAGTTCTCCCTTTAATAGGGATGTTTGTCAAGCTTGGAACCTTCCATTGAGGATTTTGAACAGTAGAGTTTAGCTCTTTGTTTTTCGTTTTCTGTTTTCTTGTTTTGTTTGCCTTTCTTTGGGCTGTTTTCACATATACTTATTGGTTATCCTTTAAGATACATCTTAGAAGGTAGAAATGCTATGAGTTTGTATTTTGCCCCAATTTTCATGACAACACTCAATATTAAAGTAGTCAAATTCATTACATCTCAAGCTGTTCAAACCACTCATTCATTTTTCTTCAATTTTGGATCAAATTATAGTTTGTTTAGTACATTAGGGCATTATGAATATTGTAATTTTCAAAATTAGAGGTGGCTTTTGTGTTTGGTATATCATAGTTTTGAGATCAAGCATTTTATTACTAACATTTCAACATTGTAATTTTTTTCATAAGTATGGCAGATTGGCAATAGATGGAACGTAAATCGGGTAGCTTCAGAGGATTACATTTTGAATTTTTGCGTGTATTTTGTCATAGGATTTTGTAGCTTGGAAGTTTTTTTGGAATCATTATGTACATGTTTGAAGTTTCGGATTGTAAGGGATTTACTTATGTTGAATGTTTTGAACATGTTTAATATGCTACTACTTTTGAATTAAGTTTATAGTTTGGATGCTTTGAACAACGTATTAAATTTTTTATTTTTTTTTGATTGCATGCATAGAAATGATGCACAAGAAAAGTAAGTTTGGGTTTGGATTTGGATTATTTCTTATAGGTTTATGAACTAAATAGAGAAATTGTCAAAAAAATAAATAAATAATGAATTTTTGATGCAGGTTTTTTAATTGTTAATTTACTTTTGGTGACAATTTGTTTTGGTTGCTAAAAATCTATGTGAAGTAGGATATGAATTTTTAGCAACTAAAAACTTGATTGGTTGCCAAAAGATTTGGCATTTAGCAACTAATTTGTTTTGTTGCTAAAGGATGTTTGGCGACACATTCATACGTCGTTAAAACCTAACATGGCATCTTGTTTAAGGTTACTTTTAGTGACTAAATGTTAATTTACAGCAACGGATTTTTTGGTGTTTGGCGACTAATCTGTTTGGTCACTGATTCTTTTATAATAGCGACCATAGTTTATTTAGTCGCCAAATCATTTAGTGACATGGCTTTGGCGATCGTTTTTTTTTTAGTCGTTAATACTTTCAGCGACAAAAAATACACTTTTGGTGACTAATAAAAACGTCGCCAAATGTGTAAATTGTTGTAGTGAGACACAAATTGAACCGAAAAATATTTTATAAAATTTCTTCCAACGGTATAACTCGGCCTCACTTTCGGCAAGGTTCGGAACAATGGCACCACCAACAGTTATTTTCTTTGAATAGTTTTTTGGGAATACAACACGTTGGTGATGATTAAATAAACAAACGGAATTCACCAATGCCGAAGATTGACGGTCAATTATTTTCTAAATTTTTGGTAAAAAGAGTTCGGAAACTTTTCGTTCTTTCAGACTATATTTCAACATCTGCAATAATGTGTATACCATTGTGAGAAGATCTTAACAATGGCAATGGATTGAAGTTCCCATTAGGATGTTTAATCACGCAAAAGAAAATAATCTGGAAGAAGAAAAACAGAGAAAAAAATGCAAGCAAGTTGAGCCTATGTATTGTCCATATATTTATAAGATATGGTGGCTGTTAAGCAATGGTTACAACCTATTAAAATTCAAACTCAATAGTCACCATGCTTCCAAACATTGTGACTCTTCATTCAAATCTTTAACTTCCTACTTCCAGTAACTTCTTCCGGGAAGATTGAATCACCATATAAGGGTTTGATTTGGTGTGAGAGGGTCCACCATATTATGGTGTGATCACCTCTCATACCTTCAGTTGTCGGTAGGAGGTGCTTGGCGCTGGTTGGAGATAGTTGCTGCTAGCGAGATGTAGTGGCTGGAGAAGGTCACCGAAAACAGTGGCTGGAGCTAGGGTGGCCAGATGGTTTCCAGTGGTGGTGATAAACAATGAGTGATGGCCGGAAGGGATGGAAGGAGAAAGGAATAATTATTTCTATTATTTTTTTAAACAGAGGAAGTTGATTTTGTTGTTTTATAGTTATAAGAATTTAATAAAGTTTGTAAGCAATTGTAAATTTTTTAAATTGAAAATAAACACTAAATAAGTATATATTTAAAGATTTTAAATTTTTATAAAAATAAATAAAAAAAATATATATTTTTTAGATTAGAATAAATAAAAAAAAATATAAATACAAGCGTTATTAAACAAGCAAAATATTTAAAATGGCATATAATTCGACAAAATTGGCAAAAAAATGTCTATCACCTCAAGTGAACTCGAAATTAACAGGTAGAGATGCTTACGGGATTGAGTTGAAATTACAAATTTTAAAATATGACACAATTTAGTACTGAAACGATGAATTTTATGATCAAAAGTAATCCCAAATTTGTTTTTGAATATAATTTTTTGAAGGTTTTCTTATGGAGGGAAATAGCAAATAAAAAACTAAAATACCATAAACAGAAACAGTCATAATAATAATAACAAATGTATTGTAACAAGATTTATTTGAAAAAAAAAATAATAATAATTTTATTGGAATTCTAATTCTTAAAATAAATTGTTTCATATTTTTTGTTCTAATAGTGTAATATATACAAACTATGGGAGATTAAAAAAAAAATATGAGCTAATGTGTTGCATTAAAAAAATAAAATAAAATAAAACTGAGCTACCGAGCTCCGTAGTTAGTTGGACGGCTAAGTCTGAGCAGTGGATGGACTTTCGGGAAAAGCATTTTTTATCGTAATAAGATGACTCAATTATTAAGTCATTAAACTGTTATCTAAGGTTACAAGAAAATGTTAAAAAATATTATTATCATTGAAAGTCCTAATTTCAAAGGTTGAGTATAAAGCCTTTCATGTTTAATCTGAAATCTTAAAAAATCACTGGCAACTATTGGTTCAAGTTGAGAGGGAAAATGCTTATCCTTAAATATTCCAAACGTGGAATATGATCCCAACTACAGCGAAACAAGAGAGGAATGATAGCCAACCAACAACAATTAGTAAGCAAATCATTCCAATAACAAGGTCAGCAACCTCAAGCATTCAAGCTTTCAATTATAGAGAGTTTTATTATAAATACTAACTTAGGTATCAGGGAATCTCTTGACTGACCACCTTAGTCAAATATTTTTTTCACTTGTGTCTCCATGATCCATTTTGTGAATTTTTTTTTTTTTTTTTTTTTTGGGTCAAAGATAGCGTTGGTATGTTAGTATAGTTAGATTATAACTGAAAGGTTCTCTGCTGTTTTATCAGCTTGAACTCCTGATCTTCCACTCACCACACTCTAAGATGTGACTATTAGATCATTGGTTAACACGTTGTGCAAAAATGTTTTCCAATGTCGTCTCCTCTATGTGCTAAGTTTTTCCCCACGCACAAATCTATCGATATCTCACATTTTAGTGAATATGAAGTATCATATTATTATACTAACTTCACATAGTGAGACGATCCATATTTTAAGTAACATGATAAAAAGTTAGTTCCAAACACCAAAAGCAGTAGTAGTTGTTTTCATGAGCAAAGTCCACAAAGGTAATTAAAAAAGAAGTTGTAGGAAGCAACTCATACTATCTCTCCAGTTCATCCCCTTCCTTAGGTTAGACTAGACTAGGATTTCCATTGTCAAAAAAATCAAATAAAAATTCTTGAAATGTGATACAAAATAATATTCAGAGTAAAATATGGAGAAGCAAATGCAATGCCTGTCCTATATTTTGATTTTTGGTTGACATATAAAAACAAATGTTTAGTCTAAAAAAAGCGTATGATTTTTTTTTTTTAAGTACGTCATAACACAAATATACTCTTAGAGTGGGAAAAATTTCCACACGAGTAAGGGGAGTTAAACCCAAAGCCTAGTGAAGTGCAATGAGTCACTAACAAAAATTAAAAGATATATAACACAAGGGTTTTTTTTTTTTTTTTAAGCAATATGGCATGTCTTTAAATACAACGCTTGAATTTCTCTTTATGCCCATTATATACACCATAATTCTTATACTTTGTGGAGAAAGTCTTTTATCCCATAAAGAATGGAGAAACGTTTTTATCTCAGAAAGAATGTGTGGGTAGATAGAAATTTATGCTCCATTTGTTTGGACAAAAAATACTTTTTAACAGAAAATATTTTTTACGGAATTATTTTTAAGAAAATATTTTTCTATATTTAGTAATGGTAGAACAAAGGTGAAGGTGGAGGTGGAGATAGTGGCGTGGTGGTAGGATAGCGACAACTGTGATTGTGGTGATAGCCGTGGTGACGGTGGTAGTGATAATCAATTTAGTAATATTAATTAGGCTTTAATTTGAAAAATATTTATGCCTGCCAAAAGTGAAAAGCATTTTCAAAATAGATAGACTTATTTTTCATTTATAATAAAATAATATATTTTTTATTGAATCTCGTTTTTTATTATATTGAACACTAAAAAATATAAAAATATATATTTCAAAAACTCTATTCGAACAAACAAAGCAAAAAAGGATGTAGACAAAAACTGTTTTTGCACTTCAAAATTTAGATTTATATTGAAACCTTATTTCAAAAAATAAAAAAATAAATCAGTGTATTTCGTTTCAATTTTTTGAATTTAGTTTTCTGAAAATTAAGTTTTTTTTGTCTTTTTTGTATTTTTTTTATTTTTAGTGAATATTTTTTAAGTAATTTTTTACTTTTTTAGATGCACGTTACTTAGATATATCTAAATAATGAAATAGTTGTGAAAAAATATTTTAAAAAATTAATAAATATACAAAATATGAAAAATATATTGAATTTTCTTCTTTTTTTATATTTTTTGGTATTTAGGATATTTTTAAAGATTTTATTCAGAAATATTATACTTTTTAAGTATATTTATGTTAAATGTATCTAAAAATTAAAAAATACTGAAAATATTAAAAAAATCATTGAAAATATTCAAATATGAAAAATAAAAAAACAAATTTTCTGAAAATTAATTTTTAAAAATTAAAACCAAACAAGTGAGCACCTAACAAAGATTTTGTAGAGAAGGAAGAAATCTTTTGAAAAAGAAAGCGCTCCTTTTCTTTTCTTCCCCACTAAACATGAAATTCCACTATTCTTTTTAATTTTATATATTATATAAATATCTAATAGTGACGCAATACATACTACTAATTACTATATTAATTAGGCCCCCGTTTAAGATAAAAGTTGGGGCTAAAATATTTATATAGAACAAAATGGATTATTTTAATTAAATGAGACAAAATATTACATCTAACCCATAACTATTTTATTTTTTCTCTTACAAAAGTCAAAAATCAAAAGATTTGTCTCAGATGAGACTTTTTAACCCTAATTTAAAATAATTAAAAAGCTAAAAAGGTAACTGACATCTCAAACGAATCCTTAATGTATTAACACATATTATAAGATTATAACTTTAAAATTATAAATCACATCTATTATATAAATTATAAAGTTTTAAAATTAATAAAATTATACTATATTATTTATTTTTACATTAATTAATATATCCATCGACACGTATAGCTTAATTCAATTTCCAATTGTCACACCTGAATTTTAGGGGCATCCAATGTGATCAAAATGAGCACTCCAATCCA